TGCTGAGACCTTCCCACAATCATAGGATGTCTGCTGAATACATGAGCAGCTGCGTCTAAGCAGTGCTGTGTCTATCGTTGGCGCTCTGAAGGGCACAGTGTAGTTAGGGGAGGAAGTGGGACCGGGCTCCCTTCGTGGTCTCAACTCAGCCTCCATGACCAGCACGGTGGACCACGCTCATTACAGAAATTCCAGCAATATCAGAAAAGCCAGCGGAAGGGGGTCCTCTTCGGGACACCTGTAGGGGAAGTCTCCCCTTGACTAGGGTGGCGAGACCCCGGGGGAGCAGAGTCTGGTGACTGGTGGACAGACCAGTGAGATTTTTATGGAGGACGCCAGGACACCCGCTCAGACCCCTGCTGGCCTGGGCTGCAGGCTCCCATGACCAGAGGAAGAGGCGGGCCACGAGGGGGGGGAGGAGGCGCATGACACAGAGGCAGAGGCAGTGGGAGGAGTTTACTAACCACACAACACACAACTTCGCCAGACCCCATGGATGCCCGGTCTCCTTCAGCCATCGGGCCCCAGCAGTGCCCCTCGCTCCTGTGCCCATGCGGGACTCTCACCAGTAGGGAGGGCTGGGCTGACAGTGTCACGGGCAGGGGAGCAGGGGTCAGGGAGGGACTCAGGGATGGGGTCAGGGCTGGGCACAAGGTCAGGACAGACATCGTGACCAGGCTTGGGGTCAGAAGATTCGGCAGGATCAGGGCTGGCGGCAGATCCCAGCACCAAGCCAGGGTCAGGGCTGTCGCCAATGCTGGGGCCAGGGCTGAGGCTCCGGCTAGAGCTGAGGACAGAGACAGCCTCGGGGCTCAGGAGGGAGCCCTGCCCTGGCCTTTTCATGGAGGCAGGGCCCAGGCCTGGCCCGAGGCTCAGGCCAGCGGCAGCGGCAGTGGCGGGGGGAGCAGCAAAACGGCCCCCTCGTGCACCCGCTTGTGTTTGGTGAGGCTGGAGGCTTGGCCGAAGGCCTTGCCGCAGAGCTGACAGCGGTAAGGACGCTCGCCGGAATGCACGTGCAGGTGCTGCAGCAGCGCGGAGCTCTGGCCGAAGGCCTTGGAACAGTGCGGGCAGGCGTAGGGCCGCTCGCCGGTGTGGATGCGGAGGTGGTGCTGCAGGTTGGAGCTCTGGCCAAAGGCCTTGCCGCAGTGCGGACAGCGGTAGGGGCGCTCGGCGGTGTGCGTGCGCTGGTGCTGCAGCAGCGCCGAGCTCTGGCCGAAGGCCTTGCCGCACTGCGGGCACGGGTAGGGCCGCTCGCCCGTGTGCGTGCGCAGATGCTTCAGCAGCGCCGAGCCCTGCCCGAAGCCCTTGGCGCACACCGGGCACTTGTGGGGCCGCGGGCCGCCGTGTGTGCGCAGGTGCTGCGCCAGCAGCGAGCCGTGCCCGAAGGCCTTGCCGCACACCGGGCAGTGGTGCGGCTTCTCGCCGCTGTGGCTGCTCCGGTGCTTGAGCAGCGTGGAGCGCCACCCGAAGGCTTTGCCACAGGCGGCGCACTGGTACG